AAAAAAAATCGCTATTTCTGAAACTCTAAGGTCAAAAATTGGTATTTATAGCTACAGTTCATCTCAAGTTAAATGCTCTATTTCCTGTCTGCTGACTAAATTATCATCTCAAATATCTAAAAACTTTGACTGAAAAGTTACAAAGCTAAAATTCCATCAAGTGGCAACAGTGGTAGGGCCTTGTCCTTCTAGTACCTTGCTCTCTTGAAAAGGACAATGTTCAATCATGTTCCCTTCTGACTCCAGCAAGGTTCCTTTTTATATACTTAACCCCTTTATTGGTCTAGATATTTATTTTTGTGTCTTCTCAAATGACAGAAGAATTGATGCCTTTGAGTTGTGGTGCTGGAGAAGTGTCCTGAACATACCATGGGCCGTTAAGATAACAAACAGGTCTGTCCTGGAGAGGGTAAAACCAGGTTGCTCCCTGGAGGCAAGGCTTTTGAAGCTCTGCCTTAACTTTGGGCATGTTGCCAGAAAGGGCCAGTCCTCGGGGAAGGACATCATGCTTGGAAGGGTGGGGGGACAGCACAGGAGAGGAAGCCCCTGGATGAGATGGGTTGATACAGTGACTGTAAAATGAGCGCAGGTGTGTGTCAGAGACGGTGATGTTGGCCCAGGACAGGGCAGGGTTCAGAGCTGTTGTTCATAGGGTTGCTATGAGTCATAGTTGACTTGACAGCATACAACAACAACAACAACTTAAAAAAAAAATCTTCTATCACCCATTTAGGAAGCTCAGGTGGCATAATATGTAGGGCTCCGCTGCTAACCCAAGGCTTTTCTGGTGGTACGAATCCAACAGCAGGTAACCTTCTCCCATGTTATTCACAGCCTCAGAAACACGATGCACGGTCAGGTATGAGTTGGAACGCACTTGACAATAAACAGAAAGTGAGAGAGATCTGTTTAACATTTTTAAACAATTACTATTTTATGCTCTATTTTCAATTTCACTCAGTTCTCACAAAAGAACATTCGACGGAAGAACGGGCTTGCCACCCTGTCGTCGATACCAGAGACTTGCTGTCAGCCTCTGCTTTCCACCGCCCGCCAGCTTGCGTTTCAGAGAGAATGAGTTAAACCAAATTTTAAAAATGCCGTGCGGTTCTTTTCTGAACCACTGTTAAAGCACCATTGAGGGGAGGGTGGTTACGTTAAGGCATGACGTGGCTCAAATGGTCGAAATGGGGCTCGAGGCGATAAGGTCCAGAGTTTCTAGGGCAGATGCTAAAAATCTACTCATTAATACAAAATTTCAGAAGTCTGGAATCATCTTCCTGACTTATCCTAAAGTTAGACTTTTTTGTAAACAGTCTTGAAATACAAAATGCTTAAGACTCGAGGTCAAGTTTTTCAAGGCCTGATTCCGACTAAACATTACTTCTCTGACGCCCCACATTCCTTAAACTCAAGTGGTTTTCAACCCAAGGCCTCAAAGATAGAAAACCTAAAGGGCTTTGCTGACCTCCTCATGTCTGAAGGCCTTTCCTCGCACGCCTGTGGGCCTGACACCAATCCTCTGGCCTTGTCCCCACACTTGCTGCTGTTACTAGGTTCTCTTGAGTCAAGTGAGACTCATAGCAACTCTAGGAAGAGTGGGTCTGAACCCTGCCCCGTCCTGTGCCATCCTCACCCCAGAGAGGTGTGGTTCACCTTCGGGGATTAAATGGAGAACGGTGAACTTGTCAGGGCGAATCCTTAACTCTCCCCATGACACACAGTTCCAACCACCACTCAGGGCAGGGTCCCCCGGGCCCAACCCTGTCAACGGTGCGCATCTGAAATTTATGTTCTCAGCCCAGAGTCTTTTGCCCTTTTTTTTGTAGTCCCACTTGGAATCGTGATAATTATTTGTCACTGCCACTGATTATGATCCAGCGATGATATTCCTGGTCTCCAAATCTTAATAAGTGAGACAGTGGCAGGGATTCAGTGGAACACCTCTGCTCCCCAGCTGTTTCCACTCATTCCAGGATGGCATGTGTGTCTTTGTCCCGTTTATGACTTAACAGACGAGTCTCTATAGAATATGCTTGCTTGAAGTGAGCTCTGTGGCCTAGTGACAGGAAGCTGCACTGCAATCCCAGAGGTGAGCCGTTCAAATTCACCAGATTCTCTGCTGGAGAAGAAGGGACAATCTTTTCCTGTACCAGTCAGATCCAATTTGATGGTATGTACACACAAAATAATAATTTTTTTAAGACTATTGTTTAAAAAGGTGTTTAATGTTAAACATGGGGACCACCTTCAACAACATAGTTTTAAAAAAATTATTTTAGGAAACTCATTCTGTCTTCTTTAAATTTTTGTGACAATAATAAAAAAGAAATGATGGTGGAAGTCCACACTTTGGTGGCTACTCCTTCGACAGCATGGTCTTTATGCCACAGTCATTCTCTCCCTGTGGTCCGTGGGGGTGTCCTTTTTTATTTCCACAGATTTTCATGGGGTATGTGAGTTAATACTAATGTGGCAGCAAGAGTTCTTCCTTCCAAGGACATCTGGAATTCCATTATCTGATGAGACATTCTTTTCCTGTTTTACAGCGGGAGACATTATCTAAATTCTTCTGGATCACACAGTGGTAGTCTTGGGAGCAGAAAGCAAGTTTTAATAGTTCTTTGGTTAAACCACATGCCTTTTCAGAATCTATTTACAGCACTGTTTCAAGCTGTTTTCTGAAGGGCCCGCAGCAGCTACACTGAAAACCTTCGGGTCATTGTTTGCTTACTGCTGGAATGGTTTTCATCAGAAGGAAGCCAGTGTTTCCAGCCTGGGTGCTGGAAGGGTTCCGAAAACGTCTTCAAACTGATTTAAGAGAAGCTGCTTCACAGAAACAGGCTTATTCTTGCCCTCGGAAAAAACTTATTAGAACTGACAGGGGCTGTAACCACAGAGCAAGGGAACCAGTTTTGAACACTCACACACCGAAGGCAACTGAGGTTTCTAAATGTTATCAGCATCAGTGAGAAAGCTTGCTCAACAAAGGCCACAGCCCCAACATATCAAATTACAGCTTCTTCCTCTTAGAAACTCACCTCTTGGTGTTGGCTGTAACGTCTCCCCCAGAACCTAACTTCCATTCCACTCATTTTCCTGTAGAAATTATCTTGAAGAAGTTTTACTTGGTGATTCAGATACAATTTTCCAATGTAAAAGAAACACATCGCCTCAGAAGACATTTAATTTAAACTTTTTTCAATTTTCTTGTGTGTATGTGTGTGTGTGTGTGTACTGTCAAATCAGATCTGACTGGTACAAGAGGAGATTGTCCCTCCTTCTCCAGCAGAGCATCTGGTGGATTCAAACCACATACCTCTGTGATTGCAGTGCAGCTTCTTGCCACTAGGCCACCAGAGCTCCCTTCAGAAGACATTTTAAGCAGCCCACAGTTCTGACTTATGTCATGTGAAGTTGTGTGTCGAGTCTAAACCAACTCATAGCTGACCTTCCAGCGGGTTTTGAAAACCAGTGAACTGTGTGAGAGGAGACTGCCCATCTTTTCAGAGCAGCTGGTGGATTTGAACCGTGTGCCTTTGGGACTGCAGTACAGCTTCTTACCACTAGGCCACCAGAATGATGAAGTCGGTTCAGTCACAGACAGGTTCCAGAAAAGTCTCTTAAAAAAAGTCTCTAGAGTAACTCAGATCAAACCAGACTTCCTAAGTCAGAACTATTATAACTGCCTGGATGAGTTCTAGAAGCATCTCAGGGTGCACTCAAAACTGAACTTGCTGTGTAAACCTTCTCTAGACTAGGCAGACTCTTCTGGACGCCAGCTCAGGGCACATGGACCTTAGGCCAGCTCAGAACATGCAAAGGAAAAGACTGAATAGAACTGTATTGGAACAGATAAGAGAGAGAACTGTTCAAAAGGAATATATGATTAGGCATTATATATATATATGGCAATGGTCCAGAATAAGAGGTACATTGCAAAGAAGACTTGCGGGGAGGAATGGTGCAAAAAATATTTTTCTTTTTTAAAAAAAAAGAAAATGAAAGTGAACTGGGGAAGGGGAAATGAAGGGGGAGGGAGGAAAATGTACAATGAATGAATGAATGAAAAATCCAACTTCTCTGTAAACTTTCATTAAAATCACAATTAAAATTAAAAATTAAAAAGAAAAGGACTTGCATAGCTAAATGTTTTATTTTTCCTTTTCTAAGGGAAAAAAGTGCCTAGTGGTTAGGGAGTTGTACTCCCAGCCCAGAAGGTGGGCAGTTCAAATCTACCAGCTGCTCCATGGGAGAAAGACAGGCAGTCTCCTCCTGCGTGATTCACAGCCTCTGAAAACCTGGGGGAGGGTTACCTCTGAGAGGGTCCCAACTTGAGAACAAGGAGGTTTGTATCTTGTTTTTAGAATTCTTGCCTGATTTACCATGTTTAAATGTCTAAAATCTCACCCAGGAACAAACTATCATATCCAAATTGTAGTTCTAAACCCAATGCATAGAAGTCATCTGAGTTGCTTGATGAAAGAACAAAATTAAAATTAAAAGATCCCCAGAGGGACGTCATGCTTGGGAGGGTGGAGGGACAGTGCAAGAGAGGAAGACCCTCGATGAGATGGACTGACTAAGTGACTGGGGTCATGGGGGTCGATATGTCAGAGACGATGAGATTGGCTCAGGATAGAGCAGGGTTCAGGGCTGTTGTACACGGTCGCATTGAGTCACAGGCGACTCCACCACCACCTAAAACGAAAAGTCTCTGGAGACAAAGTCCTAAGTAGCTGCTCCCTTTATCTTTTTTAAGCTTTTACAAGCGCCTCTGGTGATGCTGTGCATGATAAATTGGGAAAACCCCTGCCCTGGGCCAACCTTGAGGGTGAGTGAAAGGGGGAGAGAAGGAATAAGACATCTCAGCAAGCAGGCAGGCGAGACTTTAATCAGAGGATTTAACCCCAACAGGAGACGAGATGTAAAGGTCAGCGGGGAGGAACCAGGGGCATCATTGCTTCACAACCACCCACTCTGTCCTCCGACGTCTGCACTCAGGCCGGCTGCATGAGCGAGCTCAGGCTTTCCTCCACCTCGGAGAGCTTCTTCAGGACCTGGCTGACCTTGACCTCATCAAACTCCAAACACAGAAATTCAGATTCCTGGAAGACACGAAAGGATACTTTAGATTAGAGGGGCCCTCTGAGCCAGCCGTGGCAGGACCCACTGCCTATGGGCCAGGGCCTGCTGGCAAGCCTAGCTGGTGGAGACGTCCTGAAGGCAAAGGCGTCCTACAAGTCTCACTCAGCCAAGCAGCTCCGCCTGGTGCCTTAGATGATATTATGTCATCAGGGCGTTTCATGGGCAGTAAAAGCAAGCAGTGCACAAACGCCAGGTGATGTCAGGAAGACCTGAGTCCTTCACACCTGCCATCTCCCTTTAGCCTGTAATACTACTTGTACTCTTAGTGTTGAGTCAGCTTCGACTCACAGCTAATCCCCCAGTAGGTTTTCCAAGGCTGGTGGTATAGCCTTAGAGCTGCTAATGCATTAGGAACTCTAAGGACTATAGCATCTGCGTGATCCTAATAGAACTTTGTTGTTGTTGTTGTTGTGTACCAGAGTCAGAACTGACCCACAGCTGCCCCTCCGGTGGGTTTTCAGAGGCAGTTAATTGGACGGGAGGAGGAGATTGCACATCCTTCTCCAGCGGAGCTGCTGGAGGCCTTGAACTGCATGCCTTTGGGATTGCAGCACAGCTCCTTGCCACTAGGCCACCAGAGCTCCCTAAAATAACTTTATAGAAATATAATTTTATTGTGTTGGAAGTGAAAGTTTACACAGGAAATTCTATTCTCATGTAACAATTTCTTTAGAAATTATTCTGTTATATTTTTTGTTGTAGCTGCATTGCCATCGAGTCAGAACCGACTCGAACCCTCAACCGCTCCAGCAGGTTTTCAGTGGCAGGAAACTGCAGGAGGAGACTGCTCAGCCTTCTCTCCTGTTATTACACTGGTTACGTTTTTCACAATGTGTTCTCTTTCTCATTCATTTTAGTTGTACTATTTTCAACCTATATGCAGAACAGATTATCCGGGAGGCTGGGCGCTATGAGGAGAAATGTGGGGTCAAGATTGGTGGACGATTTATCAACAACCTGCGTTATGCGGATGACACAACCCTGCTTGCTGAAACTGAAGAGGACCTGAAGCGCCTGCTGCAGAGTGTCAAGGACTGCAGCCTACAATATGGATTGAGGCTCAATGTCAAAAAGACAAAGATTCTCACCACTGGACCAATTGGCAGCATCAGGATGGATGGTGAAGAGATTGAGATTGCACACAGCTTTAGTTTGCTTGGCTCCATAGTCAACAGTCTTGGCACCAGCAACCAGGAAATGAAAAGGCGCATTGCCATGGGAAAGTCTGCTGTTAGGGACCTCTCCAAAGTGCTGAAGAGCAATGGTGTCTCTCTGGAGACTAAGGTGCGTCTGATACAGGCCATGGTCTTCGCAATCACCTGTTATGCATCAGAGAGTTGGACAATGACCAAGGAGGATAGAAGGAGAATTGATGCCTTTGAGCTGTGGTGCTGGAGAAGAGTATTGAGAATACCATGGACTGCTAGGAAAACAAACAGATTTGTCCTGGAAAGGGTTAAACCGGGTGGCTCCTTGGAGGCAAGGAGTCTGAGGCTCCGTCTAACATACTTTGGACATGTTGTGAGGAGAGACCGGTCCTTAGAGAGGGACATCATGCTTGGGAGGGTGGAAGTACAGCACAGGAGAGGAAGGCCCTCTATGAGGTGGATTTATTCAGTGACTGGGGTAATCGGGATGGGAGTGTCAGAGACGGTGCGATTGGCACAGGACAGAGTGGAGTTTAGGGCTGTTGTATATAGGGTCGCTATGAGTCGCAGGCGACTCGACGGCACATAACAACAACAACAACATTTCAGATCCAACACTAGTCAGGAAATATGCACTGTCACTTTACAGATGAAGATGTCGAGATTCAGGGAGATTAACCTGAACTATAAAATCAGATAAAGGAAGAGTCCACTGAAACCAGAGCTGGGGGTGGGTGCACCTCAAGGCCCATCACATCCCCACAGCACCTTCGAGCTGAGCGTGGAATGAAGATCTGGAGTCGCCTGGGGAGGAGCCAACTCAAAGTCAGCCAGAAGAAGTGCTTGGGAAGAGTAAACAATGATCCCAAGACAACAATAAACCTTTCAGGGGCCTTTCACTCCCCTGCCTCACGCCCCTCTCCAAATCTCCTCTAAACACATTTCTTCCATCACTTGTTTGCTATATGTGCTATAGAAGATCCTATGGATCAAGAGAACAAGCAGATAACGTCTTGAAGAAGTCGCAGCAGAGAGCTCCTTGGAAGCAAAGATGATGAAGCTTCGTCTTACATCCTTTGGGCGTGTTGCCAGGAGAGGTGATTCCTTGGAGAGGGACATCATGCTTGGGGAGGTGGAGGGGCGGTGAAGGAGAGGAAGACCCTCAACCAGAGGGACTGACACAGAGACTGCAGCAATGGGCGTGGGTGTGTCAGAGATTGTGAGGATGTTGTTCTGAGGGTGATTACGAACTATAATTGACTCCACAGCAACTATGGCCAATCAATATGAAATTAAGTAGCCATAAAAAAAGAAAGAATTTTGCTTTGGTGGTAGAAATTTCATATACACTGGAACTAGATCCATAATAGCTAGAGAGTCAACGGTAAATTCTATTTATCCAAAGAGTGGCTAGATTCAAGGAAGCAAAAATTGTCACCACTGGACCAACAGGCAACATCGTGATGGATGGAGAAAAAACTGAAGTGGTCAACAATTTCATTTTACTTGGATCCACAATCAACACTCATGGTAACAGAAATGGAAACAGTCCAGATGTCCAACCACAAATGAATGGATTGAGAAGTTGTGGTACATTCATACAATGGGATACTACACATCACGCAGGAGCAATGATTTTGTAAATTACTACCTAACTTGGGAGGGACTGGAGAGCATTATGCTGAGTGAAGTAACTCAGTCCCACAAGGACAAATACTGTATAAAACCATTATTGTAGAATGAGTATGAGGATCCAAGGTAGTGGGAGGAGGAGGGTGAAAATAGAGGGGTGAGGATGGGGAGGAGGGTGTTAATCATAGGGTTGCACAATTTGATGGGTAGGTGGGGTAAAGGAAATGGGGAGGAAATTTTGTGGGGAAAAAAAGTATTCAAACTTTGTAAATAAGAATAAAAAAAAGAAAGAAAGAAATCAAAGACATGTTATCTTGGGGGAAAAAATCTGCTTTCAAGGATCTCTCTAAAAGTGCTAAAGAGCAATGATACCACTTTAAAGACTAAGGCCCACCTGATTCAAGCCATGGTATTTTCTTTTTTTTTTGTTTGGTTTTTAAAAAAATTTATTTTAATAAAAGTTTACAGAGACTTTGGATTTCCAATTATTCATTGCTGCACACTTTCCTCCCTGCCCACCCCTTCCCCCTGCCAGTCTGCTTTTCTCTTTGAAAAGTTAAAAAAAAATAAAATTCTTTCATTGTTACACACACACCCCCCCGCAATTCATCCACTCCACTATGCAGCTTTCATTCTGGACTCTTATCATGACAATAATACCTAATCATATATTCATCCTAAACACTTCCCTCCCTCATCTGTTTCAATGGAGTATACATTACTGATCCCCTCTTAGATTCCCCCCAACTCTGATGTTAGTCCCACTTTACAACAGTGGCACTAGGCAGTATTTGTCCTTTTGTGACTGAGATATTTCACTCAGCATAATGTCCTCCAGGGTCACCCATTTTGTATAATATTTAATTACTTTCTTGTTTCTCAAGGCAGCATAGTATGCCATTGTGTGAATATACCAGAGCTTTTCTATCCATTCATTTGGTAATGGACACTTGGGTTGTTTTCAACTCTCTGCTATTGTGAACAAAGCTGCAATAAACATGGGTGTGCATATATCTGCTTGAGTGGCAGTTCTGGTTTCTTTAGGGTTTCAGTAGTGGAATTGCTGGGTCAAATGATATTTCTATTTGCAACTTTTTGAGAAAGCGCCATACCGCCTTCCACAGGGGTTGCACCATTTTACATTCCCACTAACAGTGAATAAGGGTTTCAGTTTCTCTACAACCTTGCCAGCATTTGTTGCTTGCTGTTCTGTTAAATTTTGCTATTCTGACTGGGGTGATATGATATCTCATAGTTGTTTTGATTTGCATCTCTCTTAGTGCTAGGGATTTTGAACATTTCTTCATGTGTTTGTGGGCCATCTGAATGTCTTCTTTGGTGAAGTGTCTGTTCACATCCTGTGCCCATTTTTCAATTGAGTTTTTTACCTTTATCTTGTTGTGGTGAACCATGGTATTTTCAACTGCTTCCTATGCATCTGAAAGTTAGACAATGAGGAAGGATGACAGAAGAAGAATTGGTGCCTCTGAATTGCGGTGATGGAGAAGGATATCCCATGGACTGACAAGAGAATAACAAATCTGTGGAAGTGTAGAGAGTGCTCTTCTGGCAGGGATCGTGACACTTCATCTCACATACTTAGGGCATGTTATCAGGAAAAGCCAGTCCCTGGGGAAAAGGACATCGTGCTGGGAAAGGCGGAGAGTCACAGGAGGCGGGAAAGCCCCTCAGTGAGGTGGCCTTGGGTTGGTACAGATTGTGAGCATGGCACAGGATGGGACACGATTCAGATCTCTTATCCACAGGGCTGCCAAGAGCTGCAGTTCACTTGATGGCTCATAAGAACAACAGCTCTATTCAAGAACCTCAAGAACATGAATCAAGTACTTTTAGAGCATTATGAATCCTTAGAGACCATCTCATCTAACTACCTTGTTTTCTAGATAATGGAATTGAGACCCAGGGCATGTTAAGTGACTCACATAATGTTTGTGATGGCAGAGAGTTCCAAGGCCAGAGCTCTTTTTCTCTACATTATCTCTAACTACAAGGTCTTTTCCCAATTCCTTCTCTAAAAGTGGAACACAAAGAATGGTCAATTAGCTTGTTCAGGGACAGAGAGAGTCAGTCTGCTCTCGCCTGGAAGCAACACATTTTGTAAAAATGCCTCTGTTAATCCGCTGGGCTGAGAGACACTGATGCCCCAGCTCGCCTCCCAG